TTCGCGACAAAAATAACAGGATTTCCAGCGGTGACGCTCTCCTATATGCTGTTTATTACATTATTTGCGTAAAGTGTAATCGCGCACGCCCTGCAAAGGCCAAAACCAAGTGGCGCGAGTGACCGGAAGGCATACATAATATTTCTATTGCGCGCGTTCGATTCACGGCCCAACGAGTCCGCGTTTCGCTTGCGCGCACGTCAAAGTGAAAAGTTTCGAAATCGGCGTCGCGGGCGCGCATAATTCGCACGAATGTCTGCAACGCGGATTTCTACTAGTCTAGTAGCGTGTAGAAGTCTGCGCGGTCTGCGATCTGCAGAAGAGTCGGCGGTTTCGCGTATCGAGAATTCGCGAGCGCGCGGCCGTCGTTGTCATCGTATCGAGATCGGGGATTTTCTCTTCTTCGGCTATTACCCTCGACTGCGGGTTAATCTATCAACGTCAGCCGGGTTATCCGTTGTTACTAACACTCGGATTCAAGAGCTCGGCCAGTATTACGCGGCCAATGTTATGCAACTCAGTGGTGGCGTGGCACCTGTAAAAATACTGGAATAATTACCGCCGCCGTATAATCAATAAGGGAATTTTGAAGGGCGGTCGGTTCTCGCGAGGACTTAGGGATACGTAGCGTTACGTAGTTAATGGCCTCAACGAGCTCTCTCGTGACGTTAGGCTCGAAATGCCGGCGCTGCTCTGAATAATCCGTATTTTTTTTTCTATTCGAAAGCGAAAACGCTACTTTCGGAAACGCCACCGTGGAGATTCGCCATTTCCCGACGCGGCTTTGTTTAATTTTAAAACATACTTATCCGTCGATTTCTACCGTTGTTTATTTATACGTTAGTCCCACAGAAATAAATTCATGATGGAATCAACTGACGATGCCTATATTGATTGAACAGAAACCCCGCTATCCCATATTAGGATTCTATCTGATAATAGGGGACTTTTCTTTACTAAAACGCGCCATTAATATACTTCGTAGTGGCGCGAAATTGCGGTGCACGAAATGCAATAATATCCGGTGCACTCAGACTAACAATTTACTTTTCGTTCCTTTCTTTTGTTTGCGCGGGCTAAGCATTAGAGAATAATGAGTTGCGATACACATACACGGCCAGACGGTGTTTCGCATGCGTTTTACGCGAGACAGTTTAACGCCTTATGAATAAAGGTAATAGGCCGTCTTGTTTTTGCACTTTAAGGAGTCTCCCTCCACCAAGTTCCTTCCAATAATAAGGCGTTTCTCGTTAAAGGTACGGTCTCTCGCCTCGGTCTTCTAATCCGTGACCGCGCGGGTACCAGAAGGGTTTATTAACGCTGGAGCTAAGTGAATTTGCCCCATTATATAATTGCGCGATATGACAAATACAACGGGGCTTCGATATTTTTCGACAATATTACTTTATTGTAATTATTATCTCTTTCGATGGCATTAATGAAAATTATTGCGACTACGGTAACTGCATTTCTGGGCGTTTGCAATTAATTTTTCATCACTATAAAAGCATCGCTGCGACTCCAGTTCACGTTGAATTTATCTACTATCTCGTTTTGGTCGCATTTATAATAAGCACAAAGAATTCTGGCGAGCTACTACGCGATACTGATTTTTGTTAAACGTTGCGGATATTGTACCTTCCATTGATGCAATCGTAAAATTATTTGTATTTTATTACGGTGCTTTTACGAACTCGATCAAAAAGATCACCTACTTGTAAAGCAACCGAGGGAAAAGATAGATGTGATTCTATACATTTCTGGCTGGCGCAAAAAAAAATTAAAATCCTAAACACTGCCATAACGTCGTGCATTTTGAACTTATGCAAGCACTCAGCGCCACGTCTGGTTGCGTTACATCAGCATCTCGTGAAGGTGTGAAGTGTATCGCCGATGTCGTCCTCCAACGAAAAGCCCCGGGCAATTTCATCCCCTCTCGCGCTCGCTGTCGATTTACTTCCGCGGGTCGTCGTTTCGCGACTCGCTCTTTCTCTCCCCTCCCCCTCTGCCACTTCCCCGTTCTTTTTTTCCCCGAGACGCTGATGCTCGTTTTCGCTGAAAAATGAGCGCTTCTTGCGGCCGCGCGGTCGTTCGTCGAATTGCGAGTCGTAAATTAGCTCGCGCCTCCAGACGGACGTCGGTGGAGGGGAAAAAAAAACACGTTCTGCAGCAGAAATCCATCCCCCTCGGCTGGATGAGCGCAGGGAGAAAGGTTGTATAGGTAGATGCCCTGCATGGGGGTAGGGGGTGAAAGAAATTCGACCCCTTCGAGCCCGAGCGCCGTTTGATCCTTTTCGTTGATCTTTACCGGCGCGATGTTCCCGCATCAATCTCCGGTCAAGTTTCGGCGCGCCCCCTCAGGCTCGATCAGCGTCGAACGGGCTGTTGCATAGACGGTTACAAATTTCTCCCGGGGAATTTGTTCAAGGGAAACCACGAGCTGTTGCTTTCATACCCGGTGTATTCGTCAGTGGTGTTTTATTCATGTTGTTACCGATCGTGAAAAATCAGGCTCTGGGAAATGCAGCTGGGATACTTATGTTCCGAACGATATGCATTACACCCCATGTACGAGTTAAGCGAATAAAAAGAAGTAGCTTGAGAACATTATTTTTAATTAACTAATTTATTAACAATTTAATTGTTCAAGTATCTGCATCGACTTCCACGTTATTCCTTACAATTTCCCTCCTCCGAGCAGTCGGCGCGAAATATCCCTTTCTGAAAAAAAGAGATGTTACCGGCACGAATGTCAATTGGTATCGAACAGTCGAGGTCTCTTTTCCGCGATGCCGTGATTCTCGTCAGTTAACCTTTTTAACTATTTGTTACGCGTAAAGATTATCGTCAGATCTCCTTCTAAGAAAGAGTCGTTACCGGCGTGAATGTCGTTAGGGAAATGCTGGAGTGATTCTGCACTTTTCGCACCTTTTGTTCCTAGAACCGTCAATTCATGGAAACATTTGTGTAATATACAAATTATGTGTACAGATCGACACACAGTGTTCCACTATATTCAGACTAAATTAGAAAACAGCATGGTACCATTAAAATTGAGTTTAAAAGTTACATCAGTTGTAGAGCTAACCTATAACTTATTCGAGTGAATAGATTTTTTGTTATGCTTTTAAACGAAATTTCAATGACCCCATGCTATTCTCTGGTTTAGTTCGAACAGCGGAACACTGTCGGTTTGTACGTAAAAGCCACACAATTTGCATATTACACAAATGTTTTCATGAATTGACAGTTCTAGGCGCGAAAGGTGCAAAAAGTGCAGAATCACTCCGGTTGAGGTCTCTTTTCCGCGATGCCGTGTTTCTCATCAGTTAACTATTTGTTACGCGTAAAACTTATCGCAAGAGAATAAGAAAAGGAAACCAAATAAATCGGGCGCGCTGATGTTGCACTATGTTTTATTAAAATAGGCTTTGAGTTTACTAGCGCAAACCTTAGTAAGGAAACTCGTCGCGGCGGCATAACCGGCCGCTCCTGCGTGCAATGGGGAGAAATCCGCGGTTGCAATTTAATATTACTAAGAAACTGCATAAATAATGCACTTAAGTATCCACGCATACTTGGAAACGTACGTCGCGATAATGAACTTTCGCGATAGCGGCGCGGCGCGCAACATGTTGCATTAATAATAACTTCAGCATTGTACTCGAATAAGGCACTTAGGTTCGTCCCCGCGTAAGAACTACGGGAAGAACTCTTGTAGTTCGACGGCAAGTTCGAGCTACCAGTAAGTGATTACCGATACGGCACCTGAGGGTTCTCGCTTAAGGTTCTCCGAGGATCCGCAGGTATCTATACCAGTCCGGCGAGAGATTGGAAGTTAGTTCTAACGTGTCGTGTATGCGCGGCTTACGTTTACGCGTTTGCGCCGCGCTATATCGAATGCACCTCGTAGTATCAATGCGCCAGTTACGGCAAACTCTTGAGAAACGCGCGACGCGGAAACGCCGCTGGCGTCAACATTTGGACGGAATCTCAGTTTCTCGGGAATCTCGCCGTTTGTTGCGAGCGAGATCGGGGACAAACAGTAGCGCTATTGCAATATCTAACGTAATGTCCGCTTAAATATTTGATTTATCTGAAATCGATACACGGCGGGGGATCTGACTCCGTTTCCCGCGTGCACGAACATTTCGGAAAAGCCTCATATCTGTTAAAGCACACACGATCGTTCGATAAAGATACTAGTGCCTTTTTGCCCGTGCTTTTTTTTCCACCCGCGCTGTCGTTATTTTATTTATCCGCGTTTTAACTCGAGCGATTAAAATGACGCTGCGGCTCCTGAATTAATTAATTCGTGAGCGATGAGTTTATTCTGATGTCGATATAAACCGGTGGCAAATTTTATATTGTTTATTAAATCAATCAACGACACGCTATCATTTCGCTCGTTACGAACTGTAGCGCAGGAGCATCGAAAACATGCGGCGAAATTCCACATTTACTCGTCGCGCCACACCCAAACATTTATTGTTCACAATCATAACGTAATTAATGCGCAATCTAATGAGCTCCTAATTTTGCACAATAATGATTAATTATTCGTGATTATTCTAATAAACATTTAGTACTGCTTTGATTATTGCACGCATACATACGCAGAAATTTATTCTGAAGTGCTTCTAGCAATAAAGTGAATACATTACACATATTGGACGCGATTAAATTGGCTCGTCGTTTAATTAATCCCACTATTATTCCTCGCGGTTTTTTTCTTTGTCGAAGCACCCAATGTTACAGGGACGTCGATTTCAAATTCGTTACGGAATTTACGACAAAAATGAGGCACGAATTGGTCCGGGGACCATGCCGTATATTTCGCATGCACACAAGTTTCTTGAGAAGGCAAAAGCGAAAATAGAAAGAGGGGGAGAGAACGGGAAGCACAGGCGGCGATGTAAATTTTCCATTCGCCGCATCCCTGACCGCCTAGTCCCCGTCAGCAAAATAATTTATGTGTATGCGGCTTTCTTGGGTTTCAGGGGAGCATCCGGCGGCTATGCAGCACGGCAACTCCAGCAACAGCGGCGCGGCCACGAGGACGCTCGCGTTGCTCCTGTTGCTCCTGCACGCCGGCTCCTTCGCAAGGTGACTGGTCGATCACGAGGCGCTGCAGTAAAAGAGTAACGGCCGATAGTTTCACCCAAGCGGGATCGGGGCAACGACGAGGGTGGCGCGAGGGTTGAGAGACCAGGGATGAAGGAGTGGGCGCCGGCCGCACCATCCGCGCTAACCATCACCTGCCAGACTCTATAAATCAGCTCGATCTTCTTTCCGCGGTGCGATCGGCTCGTCGGGGTGGAAAAGTGCGCGGGGGGACGGGAGGAAGGACGATGAGCGGCACCGTGAGCAGCAACCGCGCGTAAGGGAGCTTCGCTCTCGCGTTTCCTCAGACCAACCTCGTGTCCCGCCGTCTCGCCAGGGTGAGACGAGAGACTCACGCGCGGCAACAATTGCGAACGACGGGGCGCGCATTCGAGGCGACGAGTTAATTCGGGGGGACGTGTAAGCTAGACGCGGCGTGCGGACTCTCCTCGAGGGCGAGCGACATTCCGAAGGACGAACGAATCGTTCTAGCGCGTCCCAACGAGGACGAGTGATCTCTCTTATATGCGAGCACGCTCGCGACAGCGGAATTAGCGTATCTTTTCCCCGTGGAGATCTATTGGCGAACGCAGCTGACTGTCGCGGAGGCAAGAACCAGTGTGTTTTCGTGTCCGGTCCGGGCTGACCGGCGAAACTACCCCGCGGAAGTCCGCTCGGTTTCTGGTCGCCGGGTGCGGTATCGCTTCTTCCCCGAAGAGAACAAATATCTTGAGGTTCGTCGTACTTATCATCGCTCGCGCAAACTTCCGAGATGTGTGTGTACACATTTATACGTACCGCGTCGTGCGGATATATCTCGTAAGCCACGGATGTGCACTCGGACCTGCCTGAAACTTTACGTCACTTTCCGAATGCAATTTTCTTTCAATCGCGAACACGTATATGGTACATGTATATTGCAATCTCATATTTTATACTGAAATATTATTTTTTGCTATTAGAGCATCGAGATGCCGAATTAAAAATACGTATTTTAAACTCGATCCATCTCAAAGTTGCAAAGCGGTCATTCTGTATCGTTGCCAGAACGTGTAAAAGTTCGTGTAAGGTTTATTTTTACCTCGGCGAAGGATACTACGGCGAGAAAAATCAATTGCGCGGGCGAGAACGATGTTACAAGTCTGTTATTGTAAATTGTGCACGACTCTCTCGGGCAAGACCTCAACTTTTCTCGCCGCGGGGGTCTTCGCGCTCGCCTCCAATTGACCCGCGAGCAAAAGTTTCGCGCCGAATAAATATTTCCCTCAAACGTGCCCGCCGTCTAACGCTAACGGAATCGGCTATGACAATAATCGATTTTCGCCTTTCGCGAGAGACGAAAAAGCCACTCAAGTATCTCTGAATTATGCGGCCCGGGCCACGCGGAATTCGTAGCCGGGCGAGGGTGGAGACGCCCGCAGTTTCGCCCGGCGTTCCATTTGCATCTCAGGACGCCGAATTTACGAGCCCGAGGGTCGTCGATCCTCGACTACGGGCCACGAGACCGTCGCGTATCCGTGTGCGTGTATGATAGACCCGATAAGTTATAACTAAGCTCGACGTGCCGTCGTTGGGCGAGAGGGAAATATCGATCGCGTGGTCGATTGAGCTGATACATTTTCTCGCCATTATGCTGAAGCGGCGCGTCCGACTCGCGAATTTAATTCACGATATTAATTTCACGTAAATATTTTGCACAGCAGCTAAATCAAAGCTGCCCCCAGTCCTAAATTCAGTTTTAATCTCGTGCAGACCCATTCGCGTACTAATGTCCCCTTTTCTTCCCATTAATGGTATCGTCGCAGGGTTGATCGTTTAATCTGTCGCACATCCCGCGTTCACGAGTCGATGATCAAATCGATATCGATCATGATTTTCCGGACCATTTCGTTTCATGACGACTAGGTTCTTCTTTGTCGACGTATATTTAACATCTATAGATGTACACATATCAATTTCATGTATAGAAGATATCGCATCAGTGTCGACCAATTGATGATTTAGTTGATATACGGTAGATATTATATTCAAGTCGAGTCGATGAATGGAGATATTGTGTGCGTTCCGGCGAGACGCTGTTACCGTAGCGCTACAGCTGTTCTGCTACAATTGTAGCGGCGCCATACTTACATTAGCGTGCATAACCTCAAAATTGTATTTTAGTTGTAAGAGTCGCGTTTACCAATTAATTGAAACGAATAGAATGGAAAATATTGAAGATTGGCTCATGAATGACATATTGTTCGATGATTCATGAGATGAAAGCCACAATGAAGAGGAAGAAGTTCCGCTACAGTTGCAGTGGAAAGTTTTGCCGCTCGTGTAGCGCTACCGTAGCGCTATAGTAGCACTATACCCATACAGCGCAGAAAGTTAAAATAATATTGCTGAAACGTTGCAATGTTGAATGTTGAAGTATAAATATCTTTTCTACGTTGAATCTAGGTTAATGTTTGTACATTCTTTATATTGCTGCAGCGTTAAAATAATCTTGAACAAATTATTATTTTTTGACACTCAAATAGATACTTACAAAATGTATAATTATGAAGTGTGTGTTATAATATTTTTGCAACGGTCAGAAATTTTCTGACTTAAGATTGGATTATTATTTTAGTGGAATAATTCAATTTCAGCACTTTCAACAGTTGTAAAAAAGATTCTGCTAAACGCGACCAATGTTAACTCAATATAATTTAACAATGTTCTCTGAATGTTGAATTGTAACGTTTACAAGACATTACAATTCAGCGGACATTAGACGTTTTATGAATATCTTTTCAATGTTGAATCTACATTTCGTAACATTGATGCAATACTGCAATGTTGTAATGGAACGTTTCTTAGATGTTGAGTTAACATTTGTGTACTGTATAGGATAGTAGCAGTCTTGCCGGAACGCACTCATTGATTCGACTTCAACACGATATCGATTGAAATATAACTAGATCGTGGACATCTATAGAATCTATTTTCCAGATGAAATCTTGTAAATATCAACTTGATCGTTGATTTGCACATGATCTCAACTTGATTTGAATATTCACCAGTGTCTTCATCGACTCGTGAACCCGCGATCTCGCGTGTTTTTAAATATATATATCGAATTAGTTGCACTTCCATCCTAGAGCTGATCGAGATTATATCACGTCGTCGGTCGACCGTGCGGTCGCAGTTAACGCAGCCAGCTGACGCGCCCGGAATGTTCTTCGAATAAAGTTCCATCCGGCGCGGCGTTCAGTTGCGGCATCCGAGCAGCGTCGACCCGGGAAATATATCGGTCGCGGAAAGTGACGGAAAGTTTATTCCGGAGAAACAGAAGCTCCGTGGTGGCACGATACCGCGGATACGATTAATTCGACGCACGTGCTAAACCCTCGGTGGGATTTCGCTGATTTCGATGCGATAGGAAACCTCGGACTTGGGGCCGCGAGTCAGGTGTGTGCACGAAATCCAAGTCTCTGAATTATCCCAATCTGTCGCCACCGGTGCGATTCGATTCCTCGAATTACCCGCGACCGTTCGAGTGCGCATCTCGGCGCGAGGTTTTCAAAGGTCGGGAGATCCCGCGTTGGAGCTGGTCAAGCGTGTCGTGCTGCGGACAAATCGACGCGAGTGCCGGGGGCCGCGGTGGCGGAAAATATGGTGCTTCGGATTCCCAATGACGGGGAAGCGCGAGGGACGATGCGCGCGCTAAGATAACGTTAAGCTTTAAGTAATTAAAGAATCGTACCGTACTGGTCTATCCGTGTATACGTCTTCATAGATCTCCGATCGCGAGTGGGCCGGACGTGGCATAGCGAGAGGATCCGAGGCGCGAACGTGGCCGCGACTTCACAACGCTTTATTTTCAACAGATGCACAGAATGGTGGCGACGATGTTTTTTAATGAGTTCAGGAACGCGCGTTTAGATTCAGGTTTACGTTCCAAACGTTTTCTCCGAGGACAATTTTACGCGAGAAATAGGTCGGAAACGTTCAAAATGGTTTCGGCCATCGTGTAAAATATTTCGCGGAGAAGAAAATTTTTAAACAAAACCATGAATTTAGGTGCACGTTCCTAAACTCATTAAAAAAAAAGTGTCGCAACCATTCTGTCCATCGCTGCACATCGCTAAACAATTAATCAACCGCGAGAAGGGCAGAGCTGCCGATAAATAATCGCGAAGCAGATACTTCGATGTTTGATGATTCATTATTTGGTGACGTCTCGTCGGCGTTGTTCTGTGAATAGCTAGAGAAGTATCGTGTCACGAAATGCATTTGCATATCGGATGAAAATCAGTTGATGTGTAAAGATAAGTGGCTAGTGATAAGTTCGTTTTTGTTACAAACAAAATTTCAATTTCCCATTGTTATTAGTACACTTATAACATGTCGTAACAGGTTTCGGAGTAACTCGGAAATATTACAAAGCTATCCCTGAAACGTAATTGTAATGTAATTATTTGCACCGTCAATTTTTTTAAACATATTTTGACCTATTTGTAAGTTTAAATATAGTTTCATACAGCTAGCTTTCTATCGCTCATATGTATTTTCGAATTCTGTCGAAATTGTAATGTAATTATTTGCACCATCTATATTTTTTAACATATTAACATTTTGACCTATTTGTAAGTTTAAATATAGTTTCATATAGCTGGCTTTCTATCGCTCATGTGTATTTTCGAATTCCCTATTGTTCCTCTCGTCGGTTTATAAACTCGATGCATTTTGAATGCCTACTTGGGCGGCATGGAGACGGTAGAAACAGTTAGAAAAATTAGAAAGGAGTTTCGTCGACAGTCCTTATCCGCTTTACATCGAGCAGAAACAGTTTTCGTGCCGAATACCGCCTTGAGGATGCGATACGCCTCGGATACGCATTATCAGCAGCACGATCGGCCCACAAATAGCCGTACTGTACATACCTTCTTGAATGTAACGATAAACGATCGCTGTAACTCTCTTCGGCATGATTAAGAACCACGATGTAACTCTTACTAATTCACACTCTTAGATCGATCGAGTGCTTCGTCATCTAAAACGCAGTCGTTACACGAGACTTTTTCGTCATCAACCAGTTAGTGTCGATGATCGTGGTCTGCCAGAAAATATTCTGGACGCGCTTCAACGAGTGAACTTTCCCTTAAAAAAAAAAAGTGAGTAGATCTATGAGAATCTCGGCAAAGTATAGAATGTTTGGTCGCCATGATCACCGTGCTGAGCAGAATCAATTGGTGCAGTCAAAGTAGAGAGATTGTTTAAACCACCGAGCGAATCAGCCGTAAAAAAAATTAGAAAATGACTCTCGACGAAAAAAAAAATAATAAAGACGCGGCACAGCCTTGTAAATAAGAAGGATCCGATTCGCGGTCACCGTACGAGCCAGGGGTGCGCAAAACACGAAACCCCTCGTTTCCTCAGCGTCGCGCACACTTTTCTCCGAATACGCGGCACGCGAGGCACCCGAGTACGAGCATATTAAATATTAATCTCTCCGCGGAGTAACTTACCTTCGAACTAAATTACAGGGGGAGAAAGGTGCGCCGAGAGGTAATATTAGGAATTTCCGCTGAGTAGCGGAGAGGTCAAATACTCCGGCGAGGAGCGCGATGAAATTTTGCGCACCCCCGAGTCTAATATCTGGCGGGGCGAGGACCGAGAGGTCTCCGTTATACGACGAGGAGAAGGCACGACGTGGTTGTATGTTCCTGAAGAAGAGTTCCCGACGAGACCCCCCGTCCCCGGCGACGATCGTTTCGCCGATCGTCGCCGGGCACGAGAACGAGTTCCGCAAAATCACCAAGAGCACCTCCCTTTTCTCCCTTCTTCCGTTCCTCATCCCTCCATCCTGTTACCACCGGAGCTTTTTTATACGCCGAACGAGATCTGTCCTCGTTAGTGCTTGTAAATGGCTTTCGCGCACGCGGGTGCCGCTAATCCTGCTTCTGTATATTCCGGAAAGATATAAAAACCCGGGCCTCGGACGCGGGCGCGATTAATTGGCTCGCGTTCGAGTCCCGCGAATGAACGAGAGCGACTGGTAGCGAATAAGTTGAACCCGATTGTACGAGATCAATTACTTGTTAGCACACGAGCGATCAGCGATATGCTCTTAGCGACACTACTCGAAGGATGTTAAACTATCGAACGTACCATTAATGTATATATAAACGAGCAGTACCGATTTATCGTTTATGTTGGATCCAATTGTACCAGAATTCCTAAGGCAATTAAAGGAGAAGAAATAACGATTATTTGTGGGAGATACACAGAGAGGATTCTTATTCCGCGATGCACCGGATGCGATCCACTTTTTTCCTCCCGTTTTATAAATTCCGCGCGAAAGAAATTGAGTCGTTTATCTGCATAATGTCTCGGTCTCGAGACAACCGGTACATTTTTAATTACTGAAACGGTCGGATATTCGATTTATTTCAAGGCCTAGTCTGCTTCGCGCACACGCGCGCAAAGCGAGGAATTGGTGAGCCGTTATCGAATTTCACTAATCTCGAAGGGATTTCTCATCGCGCGGAGAGAAACGCCAAGTATATTGTTTTGGCGTATGCTTCATTTATTTACTTATATGTTTTTTAACTTGCTAGTATATTCGTATGAACATTTTTGCTTAAAATGATCAAAACTATCACCTCCCAGAATATTGGCCTTTCTTCCTGGAACACCCTATAGCGTACAATGCTTCCGGTCTTGAGGAAATATGGCGGACCCGATCAGAAAGAGGACCAACTTTGGCCAATCTCTGCCTAGCTTAGTGAGAAATGACTCGTCGATCGATGTCGAAACAATCGACATCGACACCATCGAATTTATGTCGAATCAACGTCAATTTGACAGTGTCGAATCGACGAATCATTTCTAACTGGGAGAGTATCTCTAATTATTTCTACTTTATTCGGTAAAATGAAGTAGGCAAGCGAGAAGAGTATCGAGTGAGGGCCTGGATAACTCAGGAAGAGAAGTCGGCCGAAAGGTCCCAGGTTCAGATCCTGGTCCAGTTCTCTCCCGTCGTTTTCATCGCCTCAGACCTGGTTTTTCATTTTCTGGTTAACCACAAGTTAGTTCACTCTCTATCTTTCTTTATATTCTTATCTAAAAAGAGATAGAGAATTGATTAACCTTTGGGTTACCAGTTAACCAGAAAATGAAAAACCGGGCCCCAAAGCTATTACGCGACGCGCCTTGAAGCTTTCACAAACGTCAGTTAACTGGAAGTTAATCGACTCTCTGTCTTTTCTTATCGCTAGACATAGAAAAAGATAGGGAGGCGATTAATCTCTGGATAGCAGTTAACCGATGTTTGTAAAACTGGTCTTCAGTCACTTCGAAGACGTTATCCATAATGATAAATTTTTATTTATTATTACGAAAGTGGAAACTGACTCGTGTTCGTTTACATTTCGTGGGGATTATCTCTCA